AGAAAAAACAGTGCAACAATGAATGAATGAAAACCCAAAATCTCTGTAAATGTTCATTAAAACAAATAAAATTTAATAATAATTTAAAAATGTTGTTGTTGTTGTTGTTGTTAGTGTTGTTGATTGATTATTGCCTTTGAGTTGAGCATGTCTCATAGGCACCCCATGAACAAATGGCCCGAAGACCTTCTATAACTAACAACTTTTATCAAAATTCATAGGCTTTCTAGAGGCATGTTTTTTATGGAGTTGATGCCACTTCTGTTTCCAAGCCTGTCATAGTATGTTATTGTTTTTATGTGCCATTGGATCAGCTGGGATGTACACCCTATGTAGAGCAGCCCTCAACACTTCCCTCTCCTGAGCCAGTCTCATTAATTCAGACACACAAACCTCCATTTCCACAGTTACTGTATCACACCATCTCTTCTGGCTTCTCCCTAAACTGTGCTGTCCATCCACCCTTCTGAGCATGATGTCCTTCTGCAAGGAACTATCCCTCTTGGCCACATGCCCAAAGTAAGTTAGTTGGAGCTTCAACATCCTAGCTTTCAATGAGATACTTGTTTTACCCTTTCCAAAACAGAGCTAATGTCTTTGTGGCAGTCTCTAGTACAACATGACAACTTGAAGGTATTTATTCTTATTCTGTTATTTAGGTCATTGTCCAGCTCTCAGAATCATAACAAGTAATTGAGAAGACCATGGCCTGGATTAGGTGTACCTTTGTATCTAGATTGACATCACTGCTCTTCTGCACTCTGGAGAGGTCCATGACATCAGATTTTCCCAATGCAATTTGTCTTTTGATTTCCTGACTACTGATAGTAAGATGGTTGATTGTGGATCCATGCAAGCTGTAACTGCTAACAACATCAATGTCTTCTCCATCTAATATGATGCTGCCTATTGGCTTAGTGGTGAGAATCTTTGTCTTCTTGATGTTGAGCTTCATGCCATATTGAAGACGGCAGTTCTTGATCTTTTGCAGCAAGAGCTTTAGGTCTTCTTCAGTTTTATCAAGCAAGTTTCTGTCATCTGCATATTGTAGGTTGTTAATGAGTCTTCCTTCAATTTTTATGCCACACTCTTCCTCATAAAGAACTGTCTACTTGTGTTTTATTGATTATACAAAAGAATTTCAGTGTGTGATCTAATTATGGCTAATGTTGGAGAATGAGAATTCCAGAACACTTCTAATTTTGCTCGTATGAAACCTATACATAGACCAAGAAGCTGTTGTTCAAATGCAGCAAGGAAACCTGAATGGTTTATATAAGAAAAGTATGTATCAGAACTGTATCTTTTCTCCAAATCTCATGAATACGTACGCTGAGCAAATCATTTGAAAAGCTGGATTTTAGGAAGAATAATGGGGGATCAGAATTGCAGGAAGACTCATTAACAACCTCTGTTATGTAGATGACACAATGTTGCTTGCTGAACAGGAGGAGTACCTGAACTACTTGGAGCAGATCAAAGACTATAGCCTTAAATATGGATTATATTTCAACATCATTAGGCAAAATTCCTAATCAGCACACCAATTATCAACATTGATAGATGGAGAAAAATTGAGGTTGTCAATTAATTCATCTTACTTGGATCACCATGAACACCCTTGGGACCAGAAATCTGGAGATCAGAAGACAGATTAAAGTGGACAAGCCAGCTGTTAGAGATCTCATTAAATTCCTACAGAGCAATGAGGTCAGTTTGAAGAATAAGATGGACCTGATTCTGGCCATGATCTTTCAAATCACTTGCTGTGCATCTGAAAACTGAACAATCTATAAGGATGACACAAGAACAGTTAATGCCTTTGAGCTGTGATCTTGAAGAAGAGTGTTGAATGTTTGGGCTGCCAAGAGATTGATCAGATATGTGTTGGATAAAGTGCAGATATAGTGATTCTTGGAAGCAAAGGAACAAAGCTTCATCTCACATACTTCGGGCATGTTGCTAGGAAAGCCTATTTCAAGGAGAGGGACCGCATACTATATAAAGGTAGAGGGTCAGCAAAGGAGAGAAAGAGCTTCAATGAGGTCAATTTGTGTGACTGTGGTAATGGGCCCAAGGGTATCACAGACTATGTTGATGGCACAGGATAGGCCAAGGTTCAGAACTATTATTCATAGGGTTGCTATGAATGGTATTGAACTTGGAGGCACCTAACAACAGCACTGTAATAAGATTAACAGCCTAACTATGCACATCTCTGGATCCACAGAGGGGAAGGAGTTGTGCTGCTATCTCTGAGGCTCTGCATCCCTGGCCCTTGAAATCCATCTGAGTCTCCTTGGTAGAAAGATGGGGTGATATCTTCCCATGCAATTTAAAGCATTGAAAACTCCCTGGTGGATCAGATAGGAGTTGGTTTTAACTCCACAGCAAACACTTCAACTTTGACTCTAATAATAAGCTTAAGCATGACAGCAATTGTTATAAGGATAGCATAGGGCCTGGAGGTGTTTCCATTTATTGTGCACTGCACAACAAACTCAACTCTACCTAAAACAACAACAATACCCCAATTCTTTGTGCTTTTGCTTCATTTTCCTGGGATAGGGGAGTGGGTAAGAAGTTGGCCCTTCAACCCAGATACCCTCGGTTTGAACCCAGCAGCTGCTCCAAATGAGAAAGATGGGAAAACTCCTCCTGTGCAATTTATAGGCTCTGAAAACATGGTGGAGAATAAATGATGAATTGGTTCTGACTTAAGAGTAATTTATTGTTGTTTAGCTTCTTGGCATGCAAAAAGGGGCTTTAGTTATTTACCTTCATCTTCTGCCAAATGTCTTTGTAAGAATAATCTGTTTCCCAGGGAATCAAGGGAAGTTACCACCTCATAAGCCTTTAAGTGGTGGCAGTCCTTTGTGATTTCACGTAAGCTGGGGAAATTTGACAAAAGCCAGGATAGTCTAATGCCTATGACCGTGTGCAGGCTGTCTAGTCATCCTTCCAGAACATCTATCCACTATGAGATTACTTCATCTGGGTTTGATATGGAAGCCGGTATCCATGAATTTTCTCGATTACATGGAAGGAATTCCTTACTAGCACTGGACAGAAGGGCCAGGAGTAGAAGTAATTCAGGGAAACAGGCTCAGGTTCCCAGGATGCACAGGGTCACTTACCTCCTACAGTTCCAGGAAGGAGGTGATAGGCCAACAGGAGCAGGAGTGGCTGCATCTTCTGAGGAAGGCTACCCAGGCTAAAGGTAATGGTTTCTACACCCAAAATAACCACAGTGCAATGAAGAGGGCCAGACCCAGTGACTTTATATCACACACATACGTCTGTGACTGGGGTAATTGGGGTGGGTGTTTCAGAGGCAGTGTGATTGGCACAGGACAGTGCAGGTTTTAGGCCTCTTATACATAGGCTTGCTATGAGTTGCACGTGACTCAATGGCACATAACAACGACAACAACAACAACAATAGTTATTTACTCTTTAGAAGGTCTCATGCATCAATTTTTTCCTCTTTAGATTGTGCATTTTCTTCTATAGCATGTATTGCTTAGTGCAATGCTAAATTTTGCCATTTCTACTGGAGATGATTTTGATTTGCATCTCTCTTAATGCAAGTGATTTTGAGCATTTCTTCATGTGTCTGTTGGCCACCTGAATATCTGCCTCTGTGAAAAGTCTTTCCATGTCTTTTGCTCATTTGGTAATTTTGTTATCAGTGTTCTTTTTTTTTTCCTCCCTGTGTAGCCCTGCAGGGTTCTGTAAACTTTTGATATGAGACCCTAGTCTAAATGGTATTGTCAAATGTCTTGATGTTTTTTTCTTAGTCAGTAGGTTTTCTTTTTACTCTGTTGACAAAAGTTTTTCATGCACACAGGGATTTAATCTTTAGAAAGCCCTGTTCATCCATTTTATTCTCTCCATTTATGCATATTATGCATTTCTGATTGTACTTTGCAGTTTCTTTATACCATAATCTAGGCCATCTAAGCTTGATCCCAGTTTGTCTCTGAAGAAATTTATCGTTTTGGGCTTTACTCTTAGGCCTTTGATGCACCTTGAGTTGATTTTTGGGTATGAGGTGAGATGTGGATCCTATTTCAGCTTTTGACTTGTAGTAGTTCTATTTTGATAGCACCATTTCCTGAAGAAGTTTTCATTTCCCTATTGGATATGTTTTATTTCATTGTTGAATATCAGTTGATCATAGATAAATGAGTCCAATTCTGAGTTCTCAATTCAGTTCCATTGTTCTATGTGCTTCTCATTGTCCAATATCATGCTGTTTTGGTTACTACCACTGTGCTTTGAGGTCAGGGAGTTCTTTGCCTCCTACTTCATTCTTGTTTTTCAGAAGTGCTTTGCTTATTTGGGGTGTCTTTCTTTCCAAGAAATAGCTGCATTACCATCACTTAAAAGCTTAGCGGGTTTTAGCCTCCTCCCTAGCTTCTCCTTACCAAGTGGCAAGCAGATTATTCTTACAAAGACCATTGGCAGAAGATGTGAAAGTAAGTAATTAAATCCCCTTAACTCATGCCAAGGAGTAAAACAACAATTAATTATTTGAATAAGAACATATTCATATTGGAAACTCAAGCAGGTCTCAGTATTATACTGCTCTCCCACAAGGATGCATTACTCACTTCACATTCATTTTGACACTTAATGCCAAGGTGCTTCATACAGGTTGTCAACATCTCTGTAAGGTGAAGGGACTGTCCACACACAAAGAGGCCTGGGCAGACACCTTCTTTGTCCTGATCAAGCAAGCTCTGTATCCCTTTCTAGATCCCCACAGCTCCTCGGCCTCACAACAACCTTTTGGTAGTGTGCTTTCTTTCTTTAATTAAAGACCTTTTATCAGAGTGAGCATAAAAATGTTTATAGACAAAAATGCCATCAACTGTTCAACTGTATTTTAATTTTTTATGGAGGGGGAATTAAAAAAATTATCAAATGGTATGGGAACAATAACTTTAGTTCTGTGGAAGGATGAAAGCAGAGAGCAAAGATGGCCTGAATGTAGGGTATTTCAGGCCAGTAGCACTGTGATGGCTGAAATTGTCAAGATCTCTGATAGTGTTCAAATTGGGTACCCCATTTTCAGCCATTGAGATCCATTGTCTAATTGACATTGTGTCTATATTGTATAACAAAAGAATTCTAGTCTTTTGGGATTAATGATGTCTTTCAGTAGAAGGGTATAACAGGAGCTTAGGCCACTCAGCAGTGGAGTGTCAGGAGAAGGGCAGGACTGGCTGGCTCCCCTGACTGTGGAAGATGTAAGCAGTGGGGGTTCCAAGAGATAGATAGAGGGAAAGACACTCAAAGGAAAAAAGGCATCCCTTATTTCCTTTTGTCCTCGTGAGGAAAAGGTCTACTCTCGTCATGGGCATCCCCAAGATTGGCAGAGACTCGCATAAGTGGCGGATGGATTTCTAGTTCTGGCGCCAGAACTTTTTAGCGTCCAAGGAGAACAAGAGATCTGAGAGAGGAGAACCAGTACCACTTACCCCAAATTGGTCTGGTGTTGTTCGAAATGCCAACAATGGCAAGAGGCAGAAAGTCTTGGAGAGGGGTGTCCTCTTGGCATTTCAAAGAGGTGCAATCAGGAGGCAGATCCTGCCCTGGAGGAGTGAAACAAAATTAGGGCAATCCAGCACTTTGCAGGTGCCTTTACACCAGGAGTAAGAGGGACAGGTTACACTGAGGAGACCTGGAAGCCAATTTCACGGAGTTTCCAGAAAAACTCAGTATGAGATTATGACAAAATCCCTTTTTTATTGATGTAGGCAATGCATGGAAGACCTTTCTAGTTTCTGTGAGCTAGTCTTGAAAGGAGAGAGAGAGAGAGAGAGAGAGAGAGAGAGAGAGAGAAAGAACATTTGAGAATCAGCGTTTGTTGCCTGGCAGGGGTACCTCCTGGGTTTTGGAACCATAAATGTAAGG